ATAAATGATGTAATGAATGTGTAAATGAAGTAATGAATGGATAAATGAAGTGATGAATGCATAAATGAAGTAATGAATGCATAAATGAAGTAATGAATGCATAAATGAAGTGATGAATGAACGAATTAATGATATATAAATGATGTGATGAATGCATAAATGAAGTGATGAATGAACGAATTAATGAATATATAAATGATGTGATGAATGAATGAATTGATGAATATAAGGATGAATTGGTGAATGAATGAATTGATGAACATAAGGATGAAGAGATGAATTAATGAATTGATGAATATATAAATGAAGTGATGAATTAATAAATTGATGAATATAAGAATGATGCGATGAATTAATGAATTGATGAATATATATTGCGGATGGAATGATTAGAAAGCTGAAATCCACCAAAACCAATTCGAAGAAAAATTTAAGAAAATACAATAAATTTGTTTTATCTCAATTTAAGTATCTTCGTCTATCGGTCGATATCTATCTATCTATCTATCTATCTATCTATCTATCTAACCTCCTCCTTCTATGTTCAAGTGTAGAACCTCGAAAATAATCACCTTCGTCAGGTTTTTATAGAAAAATTCAGCGCTGCGGCTAGAACAGGCAAAGGGACCGAGCGATGCGGCCATTTAGATTTGTAAAGTAAAAAAACTACTCTGTGATTGGTGAGGAAAGAAGTCTATCTTATAACTTAATCGTAATTTTAAAGGAGAATTACAAAAATCAAAAAAATTTTGCTAACAAATTTGTACGCTAAATAAAGTAAAACTATTTGCCATTTTTTCAATCAAGAAAATAAGTTCGCCAGTTTTAAGCGGGAACAATAATTTTAAATTAAATATTCCGTTTCAGTTTTTAAAATCCGCCATTCTTTAAAATAATAGAATTCGCCATTTCGTATATTGAAGAAGCCGCCGAATCTGTTTTATCTGTTCATCAATCCATCAATCACTAATCTTAAAAAGTTCTAAAGAAAGAAATTTGTTGAAACGGTTTGATAAACTTAAGATAACCCCGTGCTCTAATTACTAATGGTTCGGATTGGTTCAACTAAAAGCAAATGGTTCCAAATTGATGGGGGTAGAGGACGGGGGAGGGGGGCAGGGCTAGGGCGGAGGAGGGGAAGGTTGTAGGACCAGGGGGGAGGGAAGGTTTACCCTTTAAAAGTGGAGGTATCCTTTTAGACATTATCCTTGGTTGATTTTATCTAAACTTTGGAGTTTACATTCTTTATAATCATTACATAGATTAGAATTAAAAACTTTTAACCGTTCGTCCGTCTTGTCTGTCTTGTGTGTCTTGTCTGTCTTGTCTGGTCTTGTCTGTCTTGTCTGGTCTTGTCTGTCTTGTCTGTCTTGTCTGTCTTGTCTGACTTGTATTTCTTGTCTGGTCTTGTCTGTCTTGTCTGGTCTTGTCTGGTCTTGTCTGGTCTTGTCTAGTCTTGTCTGGTCTTGTCTGGTCTTGTCTGTCTTGTTGTCTTGTCTGTCTTGTCTGTCTTCTTGTCTGTCTTGTCTGTCTTGTCTGTCTTGTCTGTCTTGTCTGTCTTGTCTGTCTTGTCTGTCTTGTCTGGTCTTGTCTGGTCTTGTCTGTTGTCTGTCTTGTCTGTCTTGTCTGTCTTGTCTGTCTTGTCTGTCTTGTCTGTCTTGTCTGTCTTGTCTGTCTTGTCTGTCTTGTCTGTGTGAGTATCCCCTCGGACTGATCTAATGTTGTTTGACAACCCTTTGTTTTAATCAACACAGCAGTTGTTAAACATTAAACAATATTTCTTCCATTTAGATCAATAATTCACTTTTTCAATTTCATGTACAGTTTTAGTATTTACTTCGTAAACTGTAAACCTTACTTACATTGAACACTGTAAAACTTACATTATATACAACAGACACTGTAAACTGTACAGTGTATATTGTACACTTTAAAAGATATTTACATCATTTGGTATATTCAAATGTTTTAATTATTTAATATTTAGCTTGGGAACCCAGCTTTACCGGGAAACAAAATTTTCGCTATTAAGGTCAACTAATTCGACTAAGAACTTTTAATTCAAGAAAAAAAAACATTCCCGTGCTTTTACTGAGTTCCCCAATCAAAATTTGAGGAAAATTGGTCCAGGGGTTAAAGAGTTATGACCGAACATACAAACAATAAGAATTGAATCTCGTTGTTTAAAAAGTTAAAATGAAAATAATAAGTCAACTAAATAGAATTGTGATGCAAAGTCTCAGCTATTTTTTATGATCTTTGTGATTTAAATATCAGATATTTGATATTAGTGGTCCCTTCGTTGTAATTACATCATCATTTTCATTTTCATATTCATTTTCATTTTCATTTTTCATTTTCATATTCATTTTCATTTTCATTTTCATATTTATTTTCATTTTCATTCTCATATTCATTTTCAATTTCTTTTTCATTTTCATTTTCATTTTCATATTCAATTTCTTTTTCATTTTCATTTTCATATTCATTTTCATTTTCATTTTCATATTCATTTTCATTTTCATTTTCATTTTCAATTTTATTTTCATTTTCAATTTTATTTTCATTTTTATTTTCATGTTTATTTCCATTTTCATTTTCATATTCATTTTCATTTTCAATTTCTTTTTCATTTTCATTTTCATATTCATTTTGATTTTCATATTCATTTTCATTTTCATTTTCATTTTCTTTTTCATTTTCAATTTTGTTTTTATTTTCATATTCATTTTCATTTTCATATTCAATTTTATTTTCATTTTCATTTTTTGTAAGTCCTTCAATGTGAACAGAAAAATCCACGAAATTTAAGAAAATGTTGAAAACTGACATATTTAAAAACAATATTTTAAAGGTAGAAAAAGGACCCTTTAGCAAGATAGAATTGAGCTAAGCTTCGTGGACTGTTGATGAGTTATGTATGATAAAGGTATGTACACTATGCAGAGTGTATCTATAGGAACCATATCCCACGATGTTTAATTTTACCCTTCGGCCGCAGTTAAATCTTAGATCTTTAATTTGAATAATTTACATTATCCATCTTTCTGCAGATATATATCTACCTAGCTTTCTATCGATCTATCTGCAATGTATCTATCTGATTATATGCGTATTCCTGAATTCACATTCCATAATAATACTAAAAGAACGGATAAGTATAAAGATATGATCTGAGAAGGGCCGAAGGCTGGAAATATGTCAGAATCAATACTAAAAGAATACTACACTACAGTTACAGGGTGGGAAAAGAATAAAATTTTAATAGAGGGAAGGAAAACAGGGTAGGAAAAAAGAAAAGTGGAGGAGAAAAGAGAATTTCAAGAAATATTATGGGACAGTGAATTAAAAGTAATATTAATAAAAATGAATTCGGAACGAAGAATGAAAAGAGAGAAAAAAGCATATCACTGAAACCTCCGGTTCATTTAAAGCACCGGCCTGACTTTTAAGCAGCTAAAGCAATTTGTACGCAGTATACATCCACCCTGAAGACTGTAAAGCAAGACAGTATAGGGAGATTATATAATGTGATATGCCACCATGCATATAGGACAGGAATAGGTCCAACGAGGTTATAGTGTATAGAGTGATGATGTACTCTAATCCTTTACTAATTTTATAGGCCATAAACTATACCGTGAGCGTACTACATATTTGTTTATTATAAGTTGATCCTGGCCTAACCTTTAGTATATCAATATAAGCGTACAATTGTAAGTGTACAGTACAGCTAACTGAGCACACAGGTAGAGAACTATCCTCCCCCCTAAGTACAGCTAACTGAGCACACAGGTAGAGAACTATCCTCCCCCCTGAGTAGGTAAAAAATTGAGGAATCTTTAGAATGAGATATGAAGAAAATAGAGATGTTAAAGGGACTGTAAGTGGAATTATAAGTGACCCTCTTTGCAAAGATGGCAATGCCCGATTCACAACATGTACCCTAAAAACTTTGTTTGATTAAGCATGGATTATGGGTATATCTCAATATTAATAATTTTGAAAACAAAGAAACTGCTAGAAATGAAAAGGTTTTAGGGAAAGTTCAAATGAAATTTTGTGATGAATGGAAATGATAATTTAAAAGAAAGTTTAGGAAAATCAGTTTGAAATTTATTTTTTTGAAACTGAACTTAATATTTCTAAACGGAACTTAATATTTCTAAACTGAACTTTATATTTCTTAGCTAAACTTTATATTTACAAACTGAACTGTATATTTCTAGACTGAACTTTATATTTCTAAACTAAACTTTACATTTCTAAACTGAACTTTATATTTACAAACTGAACTTTATATTTCAAAACTAAACTTTATATTTACAAACTGAACTGTATATTTCTAAACTGAACATTATATTTCTAAACTGAACTTTATATTTCTAAACTGAACTATGTATTTTTCTAAACTGAACTTCATAATTCTAAGCTAAACTTTATATTTCTAAACTGAACTTCATATTTCTAAACTAAACTTTATATTTCTTAGCTAAACTTTATATTTTTAAACTGAACTTTATATTTCCAAACTGAACTTCATATTTCCAAACTGAACTGTATATTTCTAAACTGAACTTAATAATTCTCAACTGAACTTTATATTTACAAACTGAACTTTATATTTACAAACTGAACTTCATATTTACAAACTGAACTGTATATTCATTAACTGAACTTTATATTTCTAAACTGAACTTTATATTTCTAAACTGAACTTTATATTTCTAAACTAAACTTTACATTTCTAAACTGAACTTTATATTTACAAACTGAACTTTATATTTCAGGAACCAGAGGAACCCGTGGAACCAGGGGAACTAGAGGAACCCATGGAACCAGGGGAACTAGGAGAACCAGGGGAACCAGGAACTAGAGGAACCAGGGGAATCAGGGGAATCAGGGGAATCAGGGGAACCAGGGAAACCAGATGAACCAGTGGAACCAGGGGAACCTGGGGAACCAGGAGACCCAGGGGACTCAGAGGACCAGGGGAACCATGGGAACACAGGAGTTCATAGTAATCCTTTTTCAAGAAACTAAACTAAATGATTTATTTAGTCCAATTTTTAGGCTCGAGATTAAGTGTCGCTGTGTCGGATATTCTCGGGTTTGACATGAATAAGCATCCTGACTTTAAGTCCTTTCAAGTTGCTTTACAGACTAAACTAAAACTTTCCAAGCAAGCTTTTGGTAATGGATTGAACGCTCAGCAATCAGATGTCCTTGAAGTAGAAGAGATTTCTTACTTTTATAAGTAAATATTTATCAAATGTTAAAATACGTATCTTTTGCACATCCATGAGATGCATATATTCATAAAGTATTTACTAGGAGCCCTTGTTGAAGCCTTTACTGGTTCTCTGGCAATACATCCTGAAAACTACGGAAAATCCCTGACAAAGGATCTACCTCTAATCTAGTTAAACTGCCATGCCACGATGGGATCCTTGTGCGCATCTAACCAACATAAACCATCTAGTTTTGTGTATAGAAATTTATGTATTTTGATAGAATGATTATATGAATAAACTTTTAATCTTTATAACATTTTCGAAATCAATTTTGATCCTTTACATTTCACACGGATTTAACAGTTTGGTCCTGATCCAAGCAAACTATGACTTTAGATTAAAATTTGTCAGTTTAACAAATTGTTGAATTTTAGACCAAAACTGTATTGAATTGTAATAAGACAAATAGTCCAATTGTTAGTCCAGGGTGATATTTTAGCTAACATCCAGACATTTGAAGAAAAAAAACCATGCAATTAAAGAAAGTGAAATAATTTTAAATTGTACGTTAGATACAAATCTTCAAAAAACTGGAATTAGTTTCGAATTTGTTACCAGATAAATTTAACATCTCATATTTGAACACAAAATCATTTTTAAAGCAGCTAGGAGGACACAATGTCTGTCTGTTTGTATCCAATAAACGTCAAAACGGCTGAACCTATCAGGGGCCCGAATTGTGTGCTCACTGTGATTTAAAAGTCTCAAGCTTTCAAACAAAAATCGACGAAAATTATGCCAATTACTTCTTTAAAACCAAAACTAACAACAAGTGGTTTATAGTGCAAAAATGTACATGAAAATGACTACAGAAAAGTAAAGGAGAATTAGATATTAAAATCAAAGCCCAAGGCGCTGCAACACTTTAAAGTCGACCCTGTCTTAAAAATTGATGAGCCAATTAATAAGCAGGCTTAATCTAAGTGTGTATGTGACCTCACACAATCACAATCCACAAATCCACTAACTTTTAAAATGCTATTCCTATATTGTAATAATATTTATCCGATCAAGATAAATAGATACATCCAACCAGATAGATAGATCTAACTTTGACTCCCGATCTTATATCTGTATATGTATCTATATATAAATAATATATCTACCTATCTATCTATCTATCTATCTATCTATCTATCTATCTATCTATCTATCTATCTATCTATCTCCGATGCTTTAGTGTGAATAACCATTCTTCTAGACCAGTTTGTTGAACAGTTTGTTGAACATTCACAAAGAAATTCAAGTTTATCCAGTTTTTTGAAGACGTTTCAACCAAGAAATTAATCTTCAGTGCGTTATTCTATGCCCATAGAAGTTGGTCAGACTCTTTATACTTGTTGGTATTCAGGGCGCATAGTACCCTTTTTTCTGCGGACAGTCTTTTTATAAAAGATTTTTAACGATCATTTTTCAAGCTGGTCAGTACGCCCCACCTCTCCTGGCCGAATCGGTTCATCAGTTTTAGGTTTATCGGTTTAAGGTTCATCAGTTTAAGGTTCATCAGTTTAAGGTTCATCAGTTTAAGGTTCATCAGTTCCAGGTTTATCGGTTTAAAGTTCATCAGTTTAAGGTTCATCAGTTTAAGGTTCATCAGTTTTAGGTTCATCAGTTTTAGGTTCATCAGTTCAAGGTTTATCAGTTTTAGATTCACCAGTTTAAGGTTCATCAGTTTTAAGGTTCATCAGTTTAAGGTTCATCAGTTTAAGGTTCATCAGTTTAAGGTTCATCAGTTTTAGGTTCATCAGTTTTAGGTTCATCAGTTCAAGGTTCATCAGTTTTAGATTCATCAGTTTAAGGTTCATCATTTTAAGGTTCATCAGTTTAAGGTTCATCAGTTTAAGGTTCATCAGTTCAAGGTTCATCATTTTAAGGTTCATCATTTCAAGGTTTATCAGTTTTAGATTCATCAGTTTAAGGTTCATCAGTTTAAGGTTCATAGAATCCCAAAACACATTTAAACAACGCAATTATACTGTACTACAAGTATACTGTGCGCTATACGATCTTTTGAACATTTGATGATTTATTTTATCGTAAAATCTTGATTTTTGGGAGAACAACTTTATATAAAGTATAAAATAGATGGTTATTTTCCTAGAGAAGAAGGGAACGAAGTGGGATTCTTATAAATAATTTAGCTACAGTGATAACCAGAAAACTCTGAAATAGAAAGACGACTTTTAAGCTCAAGTTAGGACTTAAAATAGTCCAATAAGCATGTGACACAGGAATTGTGCAGTGTAAACAGACCCGTTTCACTTAATTAGTGATACCATAAGTTTCAAGTAAAACTATTTGCTTTGTAACACCATCAAATACATTAAGTATTGCTATAATGTCGTCTTCCTATTTCAGAGTTTTCTGGTTATCACTATAAAAATCTATCTAGAAAAAGATAGGATTATTATTTGTTCTGATTCCAGATGTTTACGTTTTTGTTCGTGTTTCTCCCAGTTCTAGTTTATGGGATTGATGGAGAGTAAGTATCATTAAATTCAAAATTTTCAAAATTTTATATGAACAATATTTTGGGAAACATTAAAAACATGAAAAAATAAAAAGTAAGGTATTAAATGGAATAAAAAATTTACCTACATTTTTGTTTCAGTGCGCGGGAAACCAAATTTAAAGAAAATATAGTTGAAATTTAACTTTTATTTCATGGAGATAAAATATTTTATTAAAATCATAGTTGTCTCTAACTCTAATTTTTTAATCGCTATATCTTCGCAGCTGAGAAGTGTAAACCTGTGATATTTGACTACTTTATCTACAATGAGAACCAGAAAACTCTAGAATAGGAAGACGACTTGACTCACTTTATGGCTTCAAATGGTTAAATGAGCATGAGATTTGATTTGAACAGTTCATATAATAAATATCGTGTAACACGATATCTGTAAACCTGAATTACGTTGTAAATTATTAATTATCTATGTTGTAAATAGCTACGTAAAACCTGTATCATGATGTTTCATAACTGTGCTGTAAACAGCTTCGTAACATGGCTAACCTAACCTAGATATGTATGTAAATACGTCAGAACCTGTATTGTGATTAGCTTAACTACTCTTATGTATATCTGCGCTGATCTTGTAAATACATACATAAAACAAACTACTCTGTATATATATATATATATATCGACGGAAAACTTGTTATTACGTAGATTAACGTTAACTTGTAACATAGATTTTTATATACACATTAGTTGTAATATACTCTGCTTTGATTACGGTGAGAGAAGTAATTTTTTCTTATTGAAACATACGAGCTGATAAGATCGTGCCCATTGATTTGTCATTGATAGTTTTACGAGTTGTTCATGGACAGATACGATTCTGATAGCAGTTTTAAGAGTACGACATTTACTACATTCAAATTGTAAATAAATAAATAATTAAGTAATTTAAAGGTAATTATTTTAATGTCATCTTTCTTTCCACAGTTTTCTGATTCTCACAGTAGAAAACATTAGGGTTATAAAATATCCTAGGAATACGACATGGTTGAAAATATTATATTCAATAAGAATTAGAACAGCACAACTTTGTAATGTTCTTATAAAAGGAACAATTTAAATGAAAGGAAAATGTTAAATGAAAGAAACATGATAAATGAAAGGAACATGATAAATGAAAGGAACATATTAAATTAAAGGAACATAAAAAATGAAAGGAACATGTTAAATGAAAGGAACATAATAAATGAAAGGAACATAATAAATGAAAGGATAATAATAAATGAAAGAAACATGATAAATGTAAGTAATATGTTAAATGAATGGAACATGTTCAATGAAAGAAACAATTTAAATGAAAGGAACATGATAAATGAAAGGAACATGTAAAATGAAAGGAACATAATAAATGAAAGGATAATAATAAATGAAAAAAACATGATAAATGTAAGTAATATGTTAAATGAAAGGAACATGATAAATGTAAGTAATATGTTAAATGAAAGGAACATGATAAATGTAAGTAATATGTAAAATGAAAGGAACATGTAAAATGAAAGGAACATGTAAAATGAAAGGAACATAATAAATGAAAGGAACATGTTAAATGAAAGGAACATGTAAAATGAAAGGAACATATTAAATGAAAGGAACATGTTAAGTGAAAGGAACATGTAAAATGAAAGGAACATGTTAAAATTTGTGATTGTGGCATAGAATCAATTCCTTTGTTTATACCCATTTTGATAATAAATAAGTTAAATGAAATTTATTTGCACCAATTTTGATTGTAAAATAATTACATATATGTTTCTTCTTCAGCCATTGCTATGATTATGCTGATGATGGATATTTCTGTGTAGATGTCTTCTTGTGTAAAAACAGGTTGGTACAAAGACCCATAAAAATGCGGAATGGAAATACAACCGTTAGACTTAAGTTATGTGTCTAAATAATCCATGAACATGCAAGACGGCAATTATGCAGTGTACACTCACCCATTTAAAGCTTCTGAAAAAAAACTATCTGCTCTGTACAACATAAAGAACATATACGATTGATTTAATGTCGTCTTTCCCACATTTTTATGAATCTCACTGTATTAAAAAATCATGGATTTGTTACAAAAGTATAACATCTTTCTCATTGACAATCGTTAATTTCTAATATATTGACATTGAAAAGGGTATTAAAAGGTTATTTTAGCTCTCTAGATTTTATCAAATGAAATAAACCTTTGCCATAAACTTTGATTTCTAATCCCTAATCTTTGCAACTTTAAATTTGGAGACTTTAGATATTTCAAACTATGAATTCTGTTAGATCAAATAATCTAATTATGAAATATCAAAGGTTTACACCATTAGGTTGCTAATATAAAGAGCTTAGAAAATTTGAGCTGTGGAAAAGACTCATATTCCTTCAAAATATTTGTTTTCAGTTCTATTGTAACTGATGGTAGAACTGTCATTTCTGTACGACAAGATAGTGAAACCCGTTCAAGGTGAAACATTTTACATCTTTTAATTAGAATTTTTATTTTATGTAAAACTATTAGTTTACGTAGAATTATTAGTTTATGTAGAAATATTAGTTTATGTAGAACCATTAGTTTATGTAGAACTATTAGTTTATGTAGAACCATTAATTTATGTAGAACTATTAATTTATGTAGAACTATTACTTTAAGTAGAACTATTAGTTTAACTAAAACCATTTGTTTAAGTAGCATGGAGAAAATATAGAGCATTTTTTTCTTTTACTTTTAAAACTTTTTAATGTTAAGAGATGAGCTGGCTAGAATTAGTTCCTGTAACACAATATCTCAAATCTGCTGCCAGCGTAAGTAAGTGTAATTACAGTCCCATATGTTTATAAATGGACGACGTAAAGATCGTCTTCGATATTTGACATCTATGGTTAATGAAAAGTGTGTATCATAAAAGGCGTCTCATAAGCTTTACAAAAGGGAAAAAAATCTGATTGAAATGTTTCATGCAGCGTTTCCCACTCAATATGTTAAGCACGACAATTTGAAGACGATCAAGTATTGTATTTATAGGCTAAGTGCTCGTAAAATAAAAAGTAGTAATCTCCGTTTGTTTGTCTGTTTTTTATGTCCGACATGCCTAAAATTTCGATTGTGGAACTCGGAAGAATAACGGGAATGTGGTTTATAGCTTGGTTTCAAAAGATTAAGTTTTAGTTGGTTGACATATATGGGGTAAATTGAATTTCCAGGAAAAGCCGACCTGTTTTAAGAAGGCTTAATCTTAAACACAAAAAAAAATAACAAATAAATGCTGTAATTCGTCTCAAGAAGACGACATAAACATCATCTTGTTTAGTAGGGACCAAAAATATTCTAGTACAATAGATGGGAACGTAGAATTTGTACACTTTAAGGACAGCTGTATTCTTACTTTACAAATTTTAACTCAGTTTGTGTCCGACAAAATTATTAATAAATAGTGATAATTTTAAATTATAATTATCATTTATAATAGTAATAATTTTAGATTTAAATGCTTATCTTACAGTAAAATAAGTGCAATTTTATGTGTTCTTTATTTTCTGTTTTTACACTTTTTTATCTAAACTTGGAAAATATGTCAACTGATGTGAGACAATTTCGTTTTCCTTGTTATATTTGACACTTGTGACGTCGTGAATTATTGGTTCACTTCTCTGTTTCCACCTATTGTACTTGATAATATATTTGGTTGATATCATCATATCATTTTGAAAACAAAACTAGAAATTTAACGAGTGGGGAGAGGTTTGTGTGCACATGGAGATGTAACTTATTTTTTAAAATATTTCGAGCAACAAATCTTCATATACAAACCTTCAGAGACAGAAATATTCTGTAAAATTACTTTTATTATTTTTTTATTTATTTATTATTGTACATGCAGGGATATGAAAGAAAAGACTGAGCCCGTTTCAGATTCCGATCTGTTGACTGATCTTCACGGAGACGGGATTTTGGAGGAAGTTTTTAGTCCACCTTTAAAACCAGAAAACAGGTATTATGATTAGTGAGCAGAAAACAGGTGTTATGATTAGTGAGCAGAAAACAGGTGTTATGATTAGTGAGCAGAAAACAGATAATGTGATTAGCGAGCTGAAAACAGGTATAGTGATTAGTGAAGAGAAAACAGGTAGTGTGATTAGTGACCAGAAAATATGTTCAGTGATTAGTTAGCAGAAAATAGGTATTATATGATTAGTGAGCAGAAAACAGGTATTATGATTAGTGAGCAGAAAACAGGTACATTGATTAGTGAGTAGAAAACAGGTATTGTGATTTCCTAGCAGGAAACAGGTATTGTGATTAGTGAGTAGAAAACAGATAATGTGATTATTGAGCAGAAAACTGCAGGTAAAATTATTAGTGAGCAGAAAACAGGTATTTTGATTAGTGAGCAGAGAACAGGTATTTTGATTAATGAGCAGAAAACAGGTATTTTTTTAGTGAGCAGAAAACAGGTATTGTGATTAGTGAGCAGAAAACAGGTATTTTGATTAGTGAGCAGAAGACAGGTATTTTGATTAGTGAGCAGAAAACAGGTATTATGATTAGAGAGCAGAGAACAGGTATTTTGATTAGTGAGCAGAAAACCTTGGTTTATCTGACCATTTCTTAATTTAATTGAAAAGATCTCCTGCATCTGAGCAAAAAATATATCTTTATTTCTTTTACCGACAATTGATTCTTTTCTTCACGGGTTGTTCATGATAGAAATACGACAGATATATTCATCATTATTTCTCAGACAAAGATTATAAGGAACCGTTGTGCATAGGCCATGCAACTCTGTAAATAATAGTCTTTCATTAAAGGGAGTAATCACGAAAAATGAAAAGGTGTATTGATTGAATCTGGATTCGATCTCAACCAGTTTTACTTCTTATCAACGATTACAGCGTCTGTAATGCGGAAATGGTTTAAAACGCGTTATTGCTAACAGCGGAAAGTTCATGTAATTAACGGAGTTTGGATTAGTGCGATAAATTTGCAGATTAAATTCAGATTCAGTCTACACCTCATTTTATTTTTCGCGAACACTCCCCTAAATAATCATTTGTTTAACACTCACAGATATTGCGTAGAGTTTGAAGACGATGGGTTTCATTGTGTTCCCTACTACTTATGCAAAAACAAGTAAGAATATTTACATAGATTTATTGTCTTCTGAGGATAAAACTTTTGGTTGAAATTGCGCTTAGCCACGTTGACTCAATGTTATAATGCAAGGAAAGTTATTTAAGTGGTGTACGCATCTTTTGTACTGTCTCTGGGCAGTAATGTAAACACAAGATGGATGTCGAAGCCTGACATGGGATCCATCTTTCACATAAAAAATCAATGAAATATTCTGGTCATAGGAAACTATTATGTGAATTATCTAAAATATCAAAATTTAATGCTTTTAACCTCCTCGGGTACTAAACGAACAGTGATGCATCTATTCTTGTTTACAAATTCCGCCCAGAGATAACTCGTTTCAATATGCACGCAGAGTATACGCAACTGCAATTAACTTTCCTTGCATTATAACCTTGTGTTGACTAAACTATATGTCTACATCGTAAAATTTTAGATTGTAGGATTTAAGTTTATTTACCGGATTTCCACTAAAAATGCGACAAGAGCTGAAGGGGGGGGGGGTAAAGTACATTTTTACTTTATTTAATAAATGGACATGGGCATGAACATGAACATGAACAAGAGCTGAAGGGGGGGGGGGTTAAGTACGTATTTACTTTATTTAATAAAAGTACATGAACATGAACATGACCAAGACCTGAAGGAAGGGGGGGGGGGGTTGCGTACGTATTTACTTTATGTATTAAAAGGGCATGAAAATTAACATAAACGTGAACAAGAGCTGAAGGGGGTAGGGTTAAATACGTACTTATTTTATGTAATAAAATGGCATGAACCAAACAGCAAACTTCCAATAATATTATATTTTATTCAGCACCATTGTGACAAGTGGTGAAGGATTAATTACAATTCGAGATGGACTACAGTCTTCAAGGTGACGAGGAATATCTTTCCAAATATTAAAACAAAATATTGAAATTGATAAATGCATAAAAATTATAAATGTGTCACATAAAACTAAAATTAAGTCTGTGTTTGATATGATATAACGTATATGTATCTCCGGTCCATGCAAGCATCCATTTTATGTTGAACCATTCATTCAATTAATTGGATTTTTTAATTTTTAAATCGTTGAAAATCCTATTTGACATCTCTTCAGAAAAGTTTAGATTTTTAATCCTAAAGATTTGTAGATTCGTGAAACAAATATCTTTCAAAGAAACATTTAATAATTTTCATTTAATAAAAACACAAATAGTTATGTTTTCAGACACGAGGAGGCAATTCGAAGCAGCTGTGGAACAATTTTGGGTGTTTGCTGCAAACTTAAAGAAAGGTTGGAAACTGTACATTAAAAAAAGAGTAGAAAAATTTTCGTAAATAAGAGGATGGTGACAGTGTAATGATTCCAGGGTTTGGAGTATTGATCCCAGGGCTTGGAGTAATGATCCCAGGGTTTGGAGTAATGATCCCAGGGCTTGGAGTATTGATTCCAGGGCTTGGCGTAATGATCCCCGGGATTGGAGTTATGATCCCAAGGTTTGTAGTTATGATCCCTTGGGGACTGGAGAAATGATCGTAGGGTTTAAAGTAATGATCCCAGGGTTTGGAATAATGATCCCAGGGTTTGGAGTAAGGATTCCAAGGTTTGGAGTAATGATCCCAGGGTTTGGAGTAATGATCCCAAGGTTTGGAATAATGATCCCAGGGTTTGAAATAATGATTCCAGGGTTTGGAGTAATGATCCCAAGGTTTGGAGTAATGATCCCAGGGTTTGGAGTAATGATCCCAAGGTTTGGAATAATGATCCCAGGGTTTGAAATAATGATTCCAGGGTTTGGAGTAATGATCCCAGGATTTGGCGTAATGATCCCAGGGTTTTAAGTAATGATCCCAAGGTTTGGAGTAACGATTCCAGGGTTTGGAGTAATGATCTTAAGGTGTGGAGTTATGATCTCAAGGTTTGGAGTAACGATTCCAGGGTTTGTAGTAATGATCTCAAGGTTTGGAGTAATGATCCCAGGGTTTGGAGTAATGATCCCAAGGTGTGGAGTTATGATCTCAAGGTTTGGAGTAACGATTCCAGGGTTTGTAGTAATGATCTCAAGGTTTGGAGTAACGATTCCAAGGTTTGGAGTAATGATCCCAGGGCTTGGAGTAATGATCCCAAGGTTTGGAGTAACGATTCCAGGGTTTGGAGCGATGATCCCAGGGCTTAGAGGTATGATCCCAGGGCTTGGAGTAATGATCCCAGGGTTTGGAGTAATGATCCCAAGGTTTGGGGTAATGCTCCCAAAGTTTGAAATTATGATCCCAAGGTTTGGAGTAATGATCCCAAAGTTTGGAGTTATGATCTCAAGGTTTGGAGTAACGATTCCAGGGTTTATAGTAAAGATCTCAAGGTTTTGAGTTATGATCCCATTGTTTGGAGAGTTGATCCCGGGGCTTGGTGTATTGACACCAGGGCTTGAAGTAATGATCCCAGGGTTTGGAGTAATGATCCCAAAGTTTGGAGTTATGATCCCAGGGTTTGGAGTTATGATCCCAAGGTTTGGAGTTATTATTCTAGGGTTTGGAGTAATGATCCCAGGGTTTGGAGTGATGATCCCAGGGTTTGGAGTAATGATCCAATGGATTGGAGTAATGATCTAAAGGTTTGGAGTAATGATCCCTTGGGGGCTGGAGAAATGATCCCAGGGTTTGGAGAACCAAAATATCTGAACAAGTGGCCAGGTGTATTTTAGTTTCGTGGAACATTTGGACATGTGTATTTTGGATCCGTTGAAAACTTTGCTATGTGCATTTTAGTTCCGTATTCACACAGGTTTTGGTTCCGTTAAAAACTTTTCCAGTCCAGGTGTTTTAGTTCCATTGAACACTTGTCCATGTGTGTTTCGGTTCCAATGAAAACTGTATAAGGTTTGTTTTAATTCCATTAAAACCTTTTTCCATGTGTGTTTTAGTTCTAAAATGCACGTAGCAAAGTTTTCAACGGATCCAAAATACACATGTCCAAATGTTCCACGAAACTAAAATACACCTGGCCAAATGTTCCTCGAAACTAAAATACACTTTGATAAGTGTTTAACAGAACTAAAATTCACCTGACAAAGGTTTCAATGGAACTAAAACACACTTTAAAAGGTTTTAAATGGAACAAAAGCACACCTGGACAAGTGTTCAACGGAATTAAAACACACCTGGACTGGAAAAGTTTTAATGGACCAAAACCTGAACTAAAATACATCTAGCAACATTTTTCGGAGCCAAAATACACCTGAACAAATGATCCTTGGAAATAAAACACCTTGAAATGTGTTCAAAGAAACTTAAACACACTTTGAAAACTGTTTAACGAATCTAAAATACCCTTTTCTAAGTGTTCAACGGAACTAAAACACACATGGAAAAATGTTCAACGATAGTAAAAAAAACATGGTCAAGTGTTCCACGGAACTAAAATACATCTGGTCAAGTTTTCAAAGGAACTAAAATACTCCAGGACAACTACTGATACAGAACTAAAATACACATTTAAAGAAACTAAAATATATTTTCTCCTTACACACGGGCCTAAAAAAAGGAATTTCTCCAAGGGAGGGTTCAGCCATTTTGTACATTCCAGGAGGGAGGCTTAGCCCCCATAGAACCCCTTTTGTATACACCTCAGAAGTCTCTAATATTCTATCTAGATCTGCTGCTCCCAGTGCTCCCCCTTCCTCCCCTGTGCGATTTACAGAACCTCTCATAGCTGCTGGTTCTGCTCCTACTCTCACTACTGTAGAGAACCCCGGTCAGAAAATATTTCCAAAATGTGGAATCAGGTCAGTTCACTGAGTCCTTTATTTAATTCAGCAATTTTACTACGCAATTTTACACCGAGCTAAATGTTAAGAATCGAAGTCTTCCATGTTTTGAGACTGTACCTTAAACTAAATGTTAGCCTTAATAAGTCTCGGAAACGAATTTGGCACTTTTGGGTTAATATTTCAGGAATATTGATGGACTGAAGAGACCTGAATTTGGCACTAATATGGTTTAATATTTCAGGAATATTGATGGGCTCAAGAGACCTGAATTTGGCACTAATATGGTTTAATATTTCAGAAATATTGATGGGCTGCAGAGACCTGAATTTGGCACTAATGGGTTAATATTTCAGGAATATTGATGGGCTGAAGAGACCTGAATTTGGCACTAATGGGTTAATATTTCAGGAATATTGATGGGCTGAAGAGACCTTAATTTGACACTAATATGGGTTAATATTTCAGGAATATTGATGGGCTGAAGAGACCTGAATTTGGCACTAATGGGTTAATATTTCAGGAATATTGATGGGCTGAAGAGACCTTAATTTGGCACTAATGGGTTAATATTTCAGGAATATTGATGGGCTGAAGAGACCTGAATTTGATGATGTTGATCAGAGCAGGGTTGAAAACATATCTAAGTAAAACTATTATTTTTGAAAACATAAAATTATCGACAATTTTCCCGTAACATTCTAAAATAGATTTATATTTACATCAAATAGTTTCAACTCATTCAGGGCAATGTAGACCTCTATTTAAAGAGGGCCATGTCCGATTTACAACAGGACCCTTGAAACCTTATCTGATTAATCATATGGAAGATATCGTCCTTTTTTAGCTTGGAAAGTGTTTGATTCTGCTAATTTTTCCATGGTTTTCCTGCAGCAGAAATACCCAAGTCACTTTTGTAGGAAAGAAACTTAAATTTTCTGTTTGTAAATCTTTTCAACCTGCACTGTTAAGTAATCTTATGATTTCTGCGAGATTTTTTAGATTTTTTCGCTCCAAACTATGATTTTCTAATTCCTTTATCATTGCAACCCGCTTTCATATTGATATTTCAAACTTTTAAATCTTTTAGATAATTTAGTCAAGTTTGAAGTATCAAAGGTTTACACCATTCGGGTGCAAATATATAGGGATTAGATCATTTGAGTTAGAGGCAACAACTCAATTTCTTAATCTATATTTCATGTTTAGGTTTGGAGAATGGCCTCACGTCTGTATGCTATTAGGTAAAATTTATACGTTAGTAGTCCCTTTAATAGAAATTTATACGTTAGTAGTCCCTTTAATAGAAATTTGTACGTTAGTAGTCCCTTTAATAGAAATTTATACCTTATAGTAGTCTCTTTAATAGAAATTTATACGTTAGTAGTCCCTTTGATAGAAATTTATACGTTAGTAGTCCCTTTAATAGAAATTTAAACGTTATAGTAGTCTCTTTAATAGAAATTTATACGTTAGTAGTCCCTTTAATAGAAATTTGTACGTTAGTAGTCCCTTTAATAGAAATTTATACCTTATAGTAGTCTCTTTAATAGAAATTTATACGTTAGTAGTCCCTTTAATAGAAATTTGTACGTTAGTAGTCCCTTTATTAGAAATTTATACGTTATAGTAGTCTCTTTAATAGAAATTTATACGTTAATAGTCCCATTAATGAAATTTATACGTTAGTATTAATAGAAATTTTTTCGATTTTCAAAGATGAATCAGAGGCTAAAGCAAATTTCTGAAAACTGATTTTCTAAATGATTTATAGTCTTAAATTAGTGTAATTTAGCAATTAAAGTCGGTAAAATATATGTTTTCTAATTCGCAATATAATTTTACAAGTTTTATCTAACGATTAGTTTTATAACAACATAAGCAATTAGCATAGTACTTTTCATGAGCTGTACGTTTTACAGTTTGATAAAAAATATTGCAAAAAAGAAAACTTTTTTTAAAGATTTAATTTCGCCATAAAATTAAATTTATAAATTTTTCTCATTATGATTAACTTTTTTATTGTAGAGAAAAAAGGAACAGCAATTGTTGCCTTCAGAGGAGGGGCCTCACTCGTTGATACCGATGTTGTTCTTACAGGTAGTACCTTCCAGTTACATAGGTAGTTTTCCAGTTATATAGGTAGTTTTCCAGTTATATAGGTAGTTTTCCAGTTATACAGGTAGTTTTCCAGTTATATAGGTAGTTTTCCAGTTATATAGGTAGTTTTGCAGTTATATAGGTAGTTTTTCAGTTAGATAGGTAGTTTTCCAGTTATATAGGTAGTTTTCCAGTTGTATAGGTAGTTTTTCAGTTAGATAGGTAGTTTTCCCGTTATATAGGTATTTCTTCAGTTATATAGGTAGTTTTTCAGTTAGATAGGTAGTTTTCCAGTTATATAGGTAGTTTTCCAGTTATATAGGTAGTTTTCCAGTTATATAGGTAGTTTTACAGTTATATAGGTAGTTTTTCAGTTAGATAGGTAGTTTTCCAGTTATATAGGTAGTTTTCCAGTTATATAGGTAGTTTTACAGTTATATAGGTAGTTTTCCAGTTATATAGGTAGTTTTACATATATATAGGTATCCATGGCCATATTGCCTTATCTCTGAGATTTTTCGTAAATTTTTTTTTCATTTATCTTTCAGGAGCAATAAAAGTAGCTGAAGATGTGGCTACCCCTGATATTTTCCTAGTAAGATGTGGGGAGTGGGATGCCAAAAACCCAGATAACACGAGGTAATTGAATTCTATGTGACCAATAGGGTGTACGGGGGGGGGGGGTGGAGCAATCTTGTGTATCCCCTAAACATACCCCCCCCCCTCTACGCCTAATTTATCAAAATTACATTTATAAAACTTCTTTTTTATCAATTGACAATTTGTCCATGTTTTGATTATTTCTCAAATTTTTTTTCTTAGACTTTAATTGTTTTGCAATTTTTTCGCGGGGTTTCATTTAAAATCCATATCATATCATATAATGGTTTGATTGGTAGTTACGAATGGATGACGGATAGTTTGAAATATCAAAGGTTTGCACCATCAGGTTGCAAACAAATAGGGATTAACATTTGAGTTTGTGGCAAAGACTCAATTCCTTTGTTTTTGTTTAGTTTATACCGATATCAGGAGAGAAGTGTAAAGAAGATTGTGCTTCATCCAGGATTCAAGGAGGAATCTCTCCATAACAACTTCGCAGTTTTATTCCTGGATAGAGAGGTAAATAGGGTTTCAAGTCGTAATTACGTTACGCGTAATTAAACGTGTAACAAGCAAAATTACGTGTTATGTATGTTTCTGAAAGAAAGTCTAGTTTCGTGTAATTAAGGCGTAATTACCCGTAACACTTTATTTCACTTACGCATGACGCTAAATTACATGTTAATTACGTTTCTTAAAGAAAGTCTAGTTTCGCGTAATTAAGGCGTAATTACGCGAAATTACCTAATACGAAACCACTTTGTAATTAGTAAAGTACATATTAATTATCAGAAAATGTAGTTGCTGAAATTGTTTATGAACCTGCGCGACATTACTTTCTTATTAAGTTAGTTTTTTATTTGAATTTAAAAATTAATACTTCAAAATTTCACAAAATTAGGTCGTAAATACACTAAATCTATCTAACTAAACATGGTTTAATATTTAGTTAGAGATATCTGATCATATCCGTCCTATCTATCTATCTAATCTTGTTTTATTATTTAGTTTGAGATATCTGATCATATCCGTCCTATCTATCTATCTAAACATGGTTTAATATTTAGTTTGAGATATCTGATCATATCCGTCCTATCTATCTATCTAAACCTGGTTTAATATTTAGTTTGAGATATCTGGTCATATCCGTCCTATCTATCTATCTAAACATGGTTTAATATTTAGTTTGAGATATCTGATCATATCCGTCCTATCTATCTATCTAAACATGGTTTAATATTTAGTTTGAGATATCTGGTCATATCCGTCCTATCTATCTATCTAAACATGGTTTAATATTTAGTTTGAGATATCTGATCATATCCGTCCTATCTATCTATCTAATCTTGTTTAATATTTAGTTAGAGATATCTGATCATATCCGTCCTATCTATCTATCTAATCTTGTTTAATATTTAGTTAGAGATATCTGATCATATCCGTCCTATCTATCTATCTAATCTTGTTTAACATTTAGTTAGAGATATCTGATCATATCCGTCCTATCTATCTATCTAAACATGGTTTAATATTTAGTTTGAGATATCTGATCATATCCGTCCTGTCTATCTATCTAATCTTGTTTTATTATTTAGTTTGAGATATCTGATCATATCCGTCCTATATGTTTACCCAAGCCTGGAGTAGTATTCCCTGAGGGAACGGATTGCTATGCTCATGGTTGGGGGAAGGACAGGTAAGTCTCCAATTGTGTTCTAGAATAACATATTGAAAAATTTTTAGAATTCTTTTTTTTTCTTCTTTCTTAAGTGCAGAGAATTGTACTTAAATTTTTTTTTTGATAAACAGAAAGAGACATGTCGTCTTCTTAGAATATTTTGCGGAATTCATTCGAGCTAACCACTAACCAGTTTTATATGTATGATTGTTGAAACAATAATCAATCATATAACCTAGTCTAGTGTTTGTACTTTACCTTTTACTGCTTTCAATATTACCGGAGAGTTTTGGATTATCGTTCCTGTCTTTCAAATAAACTATAATTGGCTAAAACTCCATATCTTTTAATTTTTAAGATACAAAGAAAATAATCATATTATTTCGGAAGCTTAAAAGTCATATCTGAAATTTGAATGTTCAATATCAAACTATTATTCATGTATTTCTAAATAAATAAATGTGACATCCTTAGCTCTGAGCTAGCTATTGATTCTGATTGAGCTACTTAACCCTTCCTATTGCTTTCCCCCTACCTATTTGACGAAACATCTAAAATTGTTTGATTTAAAAATTATGTCACACAATAACATCCGGGTTTTACATTAAAGACGGCCAATGTTGGCTTGGCAAATCCCGTCATTAAAGTGTTTGTTTAAAAGATATATCTACGTAAGATTATGTACTTTAATGATAAATATATATATTAATCTATCAAAAGTATAAATAACGATACCGATTTTTGAATTATAGACCAAGGGAGTGTTCGCGAAAAATGAAAGGGGGTATATATATAGGCTTAATGCAATAAAAAAAAGCGCTTTTGATTGCTACTAATCTTACTTCTATCTGTTGCGTCTATAAGGAGAAAATTGTTTAAGACGTCTCATACCGAATAACTTAGCGCCAATACAAATTCAGAAAATTTAATTTCGAACAAATTATTCAGATATTACAACCTATAGTCATCGATTATCTTTCGCCATATTTGTATATAGTTTATATTTTATAATATTTTTTAATTAATTTGTTTTGAATTTGATATATATCTTGTTGCTTGCGCAACTATCTAAGAATGCCGCGCACCACTCACATTTTTCGAAATCCGTTAAAACGTTTTCTAAAAAAATAAAATATTATAAAATGTAAACTATATACAAATGTGGCGAAAGATAATCGATGACTATATGTTGTAATATCTGAATGATTTGTTTGAAATTAAATTGTTTTTTACGGTTTAAGTCGTATGTTGCAATTTTCAGAATTTGTATGGGCGTTATTCGGTATGAGACGTCTGTAACAATTTTCTCCTTATAGACGCAACAGCTAGAAGAAAAATGAGTGGCGATCAAAAGCGCTTTTTTATCGCATCAAGCCTATACCCCCTTTCATTTTTCGCGAGCACTCCCTTTAAGCGATTGAATTTGAATTTAAACCGACGGATCTCGTCCTGGTTAGTCCAGGTTAAATCTTATATTAAATGATTTAGTAAAGAAAGAAACAATTTTACAGTTTCAAAGAATTATGAATGTAAGGAAACAGACAGTATAAATGCCGTACAGCCATCTCTGAATTCTAATCCTTATGTAGATAACGCTGTTATAAGTTTGATAAATATAATTTCCCTTAGGTTTGACGGAAACTACCAAGCTACTCTGAAGAGTGTGAGATTACCTCTTGTATCCAATATGCAGTGTGAAAACCTGCTGAGGAAAACTAGACTAACAGAGTACTTCATTCTTCATGAGTAAGTTATTTTGATCTCCCATAAATAGGTTTAGTTTTCCCATTAATCTTGAGATCAAAACATTTGTGTTGTAAAGTTTTTTTTATCAAGAAGTTATTATAATGTGCAGTTCTACGGAATAAATAAATTCTTTGATCTTGGATATCACGTAGGTATAGACTGTCTTGAAAAATTGCATCGTTTGTCAAGATCAGTTCGACTTTGAAGTGTCCTCAGTAACTCATAGATACCTTCTAAGAACCTAAACATGCACTTTTTAAAACTTTAAAGAAATTGTTTTTAGCTTTTAAAGAAGTGATTGCCAACATGCAACATTTGAATAACAGTGATATCCAAAAGAAAGGAAACAAAGAGTTCAGGTTTATCTCATAATTCCCTCAGATGTTCACAACGGACCTCCCTATAGCAAAATTACTAGGATGGTGACTTGTATACATCACGATATGTTTATGTACCTTGCACTGTACACTTGTATACATCACGATATGTTTATGTACCTTGCACTGTACACTTGTCTACATCACGATATGTTTATGTACCTTGCACTGTACACTTGTATATAGATTAATCGTATTTCTTGGGGGTTTCCTTTCTCTATGTGGATATCCCTGAAACTGCATGGATAATTCAAATAAGGAGGCAATCCCTTAGGTTTAAGCACAATTAATGTAGATTGTAGTGTTGTAGATTTGCGCTATTTTACTCACAAATTTTAATCTCTCTGCTTTTCTACAGTGATAACCAGAAAACAATGGAATAGGAAGACGACACATAATAAATCACTTATTTAGTGAAAACGGTCTGTTTACACTGCACAATGGCTGTGTCTCACGCTCATAGTACTTTTTAAAGTTATAACTTGATTCCAAAAGTCGTCTTTCAGTTTCAGAGTTTTGTGGTTATCACTCTATCCCTAGATCGTTTGTGTGCGCTGGAGCTAAGCTTGATGTGGATACATGTAAGGGGGATGGAGGAGGTCCTTTAGCTTGTAAAGAACCTGGAACTGACAATATATACGTTCAGGTTAGAGTCATTAATATGATACATTCTGTTTTTTTATTGTATATCTTGTATTATACATAAGTTGACTTTAAAAGTCACTATAATAAAATAAAAGAGATCTAAATGGATATTTCTAACTTTTATTTAATAAAACGAAAGTTTTGAAATATTTGCATTTAAAGCGGAGTTAAAATTGGTTGATTTAGAAATTAACAAAGGAATTAATGATGGATATTAGATGGCGCTTCATGGAAGTGTTGTAGAGCTTCAAGTTGGTGGAGCAGATCTGGGAACTGGGACGACAGGGCTTATCAATGGAACTAAGGCAATGCAACTCGAGATAGCGGAAACTTCGGTCAGAGCCGTGCACAAGTTTCCTAAGTAAGCTTCTCAAGAAGTTAATAGGGAGATCAGAGGTATAAGCAGGCCTGCTGTTAGTTCAGGATCTGCATCATCAGCCTGAAGGAGTCATGGGGGGTGATGTAGAGCTTCATGTTGGTGGGGCAGATCAACAGGTGCGTTGCGCTGAGTATCTGCATCATCATCATGAAGGAGCCAGGGTTGAGATGGAGTTGTGAATGTCTTGAGTGTTTATAGCTGACTGAATACCGGGAGCTGGGATGAACGGGGATTTGACATGTGTGGTGTGCTTGCTTCATTGCGGAAATGGATCCTGTGTACACACACATCTAGAGAATTAACAGAGGCATTTGAGTCGGTACAATCGTCTTCCTTATATTTCGAATTTATTTTAACAACATAAGTTGTAGATCCTTACTGTTTCATGTCCATGTTGTTAACGTTGTATCCTTTATTGTATATTCTTTATTTAATATGTAATAATAATAATAATAATATATTTTGGACAAGCTTTTTACGTAATTCAATAAATGATAATATTTATAGCACTGTATTGTTAGGTAACATTTCAAAGTTTGAGAGGTTTTATGTATTGTTCCATCTAAATTTTTTTGATTTGGAATACATACACGTCTGCTTATGTTTTATTTTCTTTATTGAATTAGAAAGGTTTTTAAGAATTTTTAACTTTTTAAAATGGCTATAATTATTTCAAAAATAAGTGACAGTTATAAATTATAACACATCTTTTTAAGCATTTATAACGAAAAATGAACAAATTTTTACTTTTCGTTCTAACTTTAAAAACGAAAAATTGGATAATTTAGAAAGGATTATAGAATAACAGTGTATTTATTAGGTCGGAATCGTTTCATGGGGTGTTGACTGTGGACAAAAAGATACGCCAGGTATACAAGCTTACTGTGGAATTGATAATAGATTCGAATGTCGTCTTCATAATTACGAAAAAGGTTGGATAGACTGCATTAGCAAGAATAAAAATGATTATTTAATAATAGTAGAATATCAACCTTTGCTTTATGATTTTGATAAACAGTGATAACCAGAAAACTCTGGAATAGTAAGACGATTTTGAGAATCAGGTTTTATTTTAAAAAGTTCAATGACCATGAAACACAGCAATTGTGCAATGTAAACAGACCCATTTCACAATATAAGTGATTTAATAAGTGTCTGGTAAAACTATTTGCTTTGTAAAACCATCAAATACACTTAAGTATTGCTGTAATGTCGTCTTCCTATTCCATTGTTTTTTTGTTATCACTTTATATATACTATAATGACGAACTTTAAATGACTGCAAAAAATATAAAAGGTAATTTTTCTTTTTTTTCTTAATTTCTTTTATTGAATTTAATATTAATAATTTGATGAAAATTATTAGTGAGTTGTTATTTTATTTCAATAATAACATGTTTTATTTTTTCCAGGAGTTTATTCCAACCTTCCCCTTGCAGTTTGCTGGATAGGTAAAAATATTGAATGTATCATTTGCTCTTAGACAAATTCTAATTTGTCTGAGAGTAAATAACATTCCTTTGTAAAGAATAACAAATTATTTTTATCATTTATTATTATTTTTAAAAGGAGCAGGATTAAATGAAAATTGTTGCATACCAAAAAAACAGCTTTTTATAAAAGAATGATTTTTCTCATTTTCTTGAGAATATTTTCTGTTTAGCCTTCTTTTAGAGTATGAATTGGAACGATATTTTTATTTTAATTTGGGCAACAAAACTACCATTCACTTAATTCAGTATATTTTCTTTATAGATTAAAAATGTTTGTTTTATAGTTTAAACATATATCAAAATATGTAAAATCTAATAATTATTCTTTATTATTTTGTAGATAATGTTGTGATGTGCAACAAAGGATATTCGGTAAAAATACTATGTGATATCTGATCATANCTTGAACTTCAAATTAATGTATTTTGGCCTAATTAAACTTCAAATTATTGTATTTTAGCCTACTTGAACTTCAAATTAATGTATTTTGGCCTAATTAAACTTCAAATTATTGTATTTTAGCCTACTTGAACTTCAAATTAATGTATTTTGGCCTAATTAAACTTCAAATTATTGTATTTTAGCCTACTTGAAATTCAAATTAATGTATTTTGGCCTACTTGACCTTCAAATTAATGTATTTTGGCCTACTTGAACTTCAAATTAATATATTTTGGCCTGCTTGAACTAAAAATTAATGTATGTTGAACTTCAAATTAATGTATTTTGGCCTACTTGAACTTCCAATTAATGTATTTTGGCCTACTTGGATTACAAAATAATGCATTGTGGCCTTATACTTGAACTTCAAATTGCTGAAAAATAGACTGTATACAGTTTTCATTTAATTTTCATTGCAGTGATTCCCATAAAACTATGGAATAGAAAGACGACTGTTAGATGACTTTCTGCATGCAATTTTAGAATAATAATCCAATGAACATGAAGCACAACAATATTGCAATGCATTGCACCCATTTCACTTAAGAATTGTCAATTTTCAAGCCGCTGCTGGTAACACAATTTGCTACAGTGGAAGGCAATTATATCAGTATAATTAAGCCAAGTTTTTTTTGAGTTTTGATTGTTCACAAGCTTTTTTCGAATTACAAGTTTACAAGTTAACAAAAAGAAGCTTTTTAATCGACAGATTCTCTTTGTTTCCATGTTTTGTGTAGCCATGCTGTTTAAACGCTTGATATAAATCAAAATTGAAATCAAAAGTCGTTCTCATTGTATTAATATAATTGCCTACCACTGTATAATAACAGCTCATCAAAAGATTTTTGAAGTTTTAATTTTCAGGATTCTGCATTCGGATTCAGTCCTAACGAATGTCCATCAGTTCCGAGATCATCAAATTTCTGCTGAGATGTTTATAAAAGTCGTCTTCAACCATCGTTAAAAGAAGACGACAAATGCTATCATTTGTGTCCGTTTTTATAAGTAAAATTATACGACTACCTTCTATCTATAACAATAACTTTGAATGAATAAGCGTTATTGTTTTTATCGATAAATATTTTTCTTGTTAAAAATGTCTTGATAATTTAAGACGGTACTGTGTAACGGATATTTTAAATAGAAGATACAGGGTGTTCCACGAAACATGACTTATAGTGAATAGTTTTGAACATGTCTTCTTCCATATACGTTATTATATAATAAAGACTTTTTATAGTCTATTTCGTTAAAAAAATCTTCTAGTATAATTTATTTTCCTTTTGAAATGAATTTTACCGTTTATGCAAATGTAATATAATATTTTTTTATTATTTTCTTTTTTATCAATCAACTTAACAAATTATGGAAGAATACATTTAAGAATACAATACATGTGTTTCCATATTACATATTATTGTTAGGATAGTACTACTTGGGTGGGGTGTCATGGGTTTGGAGTGGATAAAATTTCGCAATTCCAAACGATATAGATATGTGATGTGCAAAATTTGCGTTTTGGGGGTCTTATCTCTCCATTGTTTCAATACTTCTAGATGATTCTTTCGACTGTTAAGCGCTAAATGAACCTTTTTTTCTTTAATTCACTGTATTTCCATCGTCCCAAAACTGGAATGCCTCGTAAGGACTCCTGATTAAAAACTGCAGTTTAGCTTGATTTCTGCCTCTAATAGGAAGTTGAGCCCAAACCTTCTTGTTATACTTCTCTTATGACGCATTTACTCTGCTTAGAAGCAGAATATAATCCCTCAAAGAGGAAGGAAAAGTCTAGTCAGACCATTTCCATTAAGAGTTCCTTAAATAGGAAGTTGTCGGAAAACGGCCCCGGTACCTCAGGAACGCACTTTTCCGTCCTTATATGGGAATGATAAATGTTTAAGATAGATAGTTAAAAGCATAATAAAACACAACAAAACATAAACAACTTGGTGTTTCACATCATAGATAGGAAGAAATATCGTACTGGAGAAAAGGAACAAAGCCAACAGGTCAGCTAAGCAAATGCAATTTAGGATTTTAGGAACAAGGTCAAAAAAAGAAAGAACAGAATATTTAGGTTCATAGAAAAAGGAACAATACAATATCATGAATATTGGGTGAACTGGGAACAAAACAGAAAATACTAGATTAGGAACATCAAAAGAGGTTTGAGGAACAAAAAAACTATAAAATGGAAACTATAACAGGAACATTGACTATTGAACCAAGAGCAAGCTAGGAACAATAAAAAAACTTGGAGTTTCATACATGCACTAAGAACATACGAACAATAAATGAAATCAGAAATACACAATCTAAGGAACAATAAAAAGATTGTTTAGGAATTAGGAACAAAAATAAAGGATTAGGACAGGGATTTAGTGTCTAGGGTCGAAGTAAGTTAAGAACAAAAAGAAACTACTAGTTATACTTTTATGCATGAAAATTAGGAACAATATTACAATTTTGATTAATGGGTTTTGATTAAGGATATTACTAAGGAACATTATTATAAATATAAGTCTAGTTTCTTACAAATTTCTACATTTATTGTTCAAATTTACTCGTTGATTTTGAAATTGAACTTAAGATGTTGCAGTGCGACCAAGCTCCTCCTCAGTGTGTCGCGTATTGAATCCATGTAAGAAATTCACCAGGAAAAAAGCTTCTGGAAAAAAACCTGGAAAGTCTCAACGTTCTGAAGTCCTAGGACAAAATTTCACTGGAAATAAAGTCCTAAGTTTTTATCTCGTTGGACTTTTTTTCCTAAAATAATATGGGGGCTGCCAATAAAGTCTCAGGAAATAGGATCACAGGAAATAAAGCCCTGAAGAAAAAAAACAAGAAAAAAGTCCTTATAGTCTCGTAAAAATGAGGTCAAGTCTAAGACGTTTTCATAAAAACTACTTTTTTTCTTTGCATCTGTATGTTCAATATATCCAGAGGTCAGAGAAGAATGAAGATGAAAAGAGAAGTTCAGAGATGAGTTCAGATGAAAAGATAATTCAGAGAAGGATAAAGATGAAAAGAAGATGAAAGGAGAAGGTCAGAGAAGAATCAAGATGTAAGGAGAAGTTCAGAGAAGAATTAAGATGAAAGCAGAAGTTCAGAGAAGAATAAAGATGACAGGTGAAATTCATGGAAGAATTAGGATGAAAAGAGAAGTTCAGAGAAAAATTATGATGAAAAGAGAAGTTTACTGAAGAATTAAGATGAAAGGAGAAGTTCAGAGAAGAATGAAGATGAAAAGAGAAGTTCACAGAAGAATTAAGGTGAAAAGAGAAGGTCAGAGAAGGATAAAGATGAAAAGAGAAGTTCAGAGAAGAATTAAGGTGAAAAGAGAAGTTCACTGAAGAATTAAGATGAAAGGAGAAGTTCAGAGAAGAATTAAGGTGAAAAGAGAAGATCAGAGAAGAATTAAGGTGAAAAGAGAAGGTCAGAGAAGGATAAAGATGAAAAGAGAAGGTCAGAGAGAAGGATAAAGATGAAAAGAGAAGTTCAGAGAAGAAGAAAGATTGGAATAGAATGAAAGAATAAGGTCAGAGAATAAAAGAAGATGTAGGGAATATTTTCGAGAAGATGGAGAATGACAGAAGACGAAAGGAGAGAGTCAAAGAAGACTTAAATTGAAAAGAAGATGAAAAGAGATTTCTTAAACTGTTCAGGCTTCTGTAGTTATCATAAATTGTTCAAACTTCTAGTTCTCTTAAACAGTTCAGACTTCTACTTAGCTTAAACTGTTCAAACTTCTAGTTTTATTAACTTAAACAGTTGACTTCTAGTTATCTTAAACAGTTTAGACTTCTAGTTATCTTTAACAGTTCAAACTTCTAGTTATTTTAAACAATTCAAATTTTTAGTTATCTTAAACAGTTCAAACTTCTAGTTATCTTAAACAGTTCAAATTTTTAGTTATCTTAACAGTTCAAACTTCTAGTTATTTTAAACAGTTCAAATTTGTAGTTATTTTAAACAGTTCACATTTTTAGTTATCTTAAACAGTTTAGACTTCTATTTTATTTTACATAGTTCAGACTTCTAGTTACTTTAAACAGTTTATACTTACAGTTTTGAGCTTCATTAGTTAGTTTAGTGCAGCTGATAAAAATAAAATTGGAGATTAAAAACTTTTATCTGTATTAAAAAGAATCGAATCGAAATAATTTTGTTTCTCTAACTTGAATTTGAACTTGTTTCTTTCAAATTGAATTAATTTTCAATATCAAAGAAAACTAAATTTGTTCATGTCTTTTACTTAATTTTCGAGTTTTAAGTCACAATTAATGATGCCTTGTTTGCTTTAAGTGACAATTAATGACGCTTAAATAATATTATTAACATAATTTCTTGCAAACCTTCCAACCTTCCTCCGTAACGACAGACATGTGTGTACTTTGCTTAATCAACTACACTGATTGTTGTTATTAGGTGCAGTACGTTAAAACGAGTTAAGAAGAAAAAAATCAGGGGTGAGCCGTAATTTCATTTATTATCAATTGGGGTTTTTAAAGAATGGTAGATTTTTTCACCTTAATTGTACATAATAAGATGGCAGATGGCGACAACTTCTCACCTATATATAAATTTGGCTTGTCCGTCTGGGTGTCTGATGTCTGTTTGTTTGTATCCAATAAACGTGAAAACGGCTGAACCGATCGGGCCCAAATTTTTTGTGGGACCTCACGTGACCCCAGGGAAGGTTTATGAATGATCAAAATTTTTAAAATTTGTGTTTAAAAGTTTTTTATTTTTGAAAAATTTTGAAAATGCGCAAAAAAATATTATGAAATCCGCAAAATTTTTTGTTTTTGTTTAACACTGTACAAAGAGAAGAAATTCAGAGATAAAGCAACAATTAAAAGTTGAAACAGAAGATGGGCGCGAAGCGCCTTAAAAGCCTAGTAAATATACAACACTCTCCAATATAAATGATGACAACTGCTCATAAATATACAACACTCTCCAATATAAATGATGACAACTGCTCATAATTATACAACACTCTTCAATATAAATGATGACAACTTCTCATAAATATACAACACTCTCCAATATAAATGATAAATGATGACAACTACCCCACCCCAGCTTCTTTCCGATCTTTCTTCTTCAAACTTTCTTCTTTAAACTGTAGTTAGTTTGGTTTAATCTTATTTTATTTATTTCCTTCACTACCATTCTTAAGCCGATGGATGGGGGGGGGAGTTGGGGAGGAGGGGGTATACAAAATAAAAAAAGGTTTAATTTTAAATGATAAAGTGAGTTTTAAGTCATGACTTCCTCTAAATAAACTCTTTTATTTCTTAAACTTATATTTACACTTCTGAAACTAAATTTTTGAAAATATGTGATTTTTATTATTATAAAAACGTTTCACACTATTGATTGAGTATGTATTTGTCAAACATTGAGTGCAGTGGGTCTCAAAGTAAGAATAAAAGATCTCTAGAATATAACAAAATAATATCAATATGCGTATATAAGAGCCCAAAATCTAGATACTCTGATGAATGAGATAATGAATGTATAAATATAAACTACTAGAGAAGAAACCCCAGGAAAATAATGCAATCTAAGACTGAATAATTACTACTTATCTTCTCTAGGTGTCAAACTAATCTGTATTTCCTAAGTAAAAACAAAGACTGTACACAAATATTCAGGTTTTATACCATTCCAAATATCATGCAAAGGATCAAAGAACCTAGATTTCAAAGATCAAAAACGCCTTTAATAGAACAGTATACCTAAGCTTAATTTTTTGGTCCGCCAGTTTTTATTGTTTAACTAACGTAAAAACGGCTGAACCGAATTTTTGTTTGTGATCAAATATATTTCTTGGATTGTTTTTGACCGATCAGAATTAGAAAATTATCTTTGGGGAAAATGTTAGTTATTAACTTTGAAATAAATCTATGAAATCTAGCAAAATCTTTCATATTTGTGTTAATAAAATGGCTAAAAAAGACAGTGACCACTGTAAAAGATTTTTTGCAGTTATCTACGTTATCAATTTTGTTGCTGATTACAAATTGGGTTAACAAATCTAAAAATATAAGTTTATAAAGCAGGTAGAAGTGAGTATAAGAATAAAGCAGGTTTAGTTTGGATCAAATTTGAGCTAATTTTACTGTAGCCAGGCCAGCGGCAGCTTGCATGTGTGGAGACATCATCACGTGACTTCATTACGTCATAATCAATTCGGAGTTGAGCAAAAATGCGAGAGAAATAGGAAAATTCGCAATCTTTTAATTCTAGCGATATCTTGGCACTAACCAACTTCTGTAGGTTAAGGGGCTGCAAAAATTCTGAGCAATAATTTTCGACTGGGTTAGCTGTTGAAAATCTAGTTTTTGGCGAATAATGAATATCTTCAACTTAATAATAATGTCTGCCTTATAATGCTTCTTTTTTACCCTTTTTACCTGTCCAAATTTTCAATAGATAATAAATTTATTTAAGTTTTTCATATCTATGTCCATAAAATTTTCAAGAACGATTATGTGACATATTTTTTTACAAAGAAATTTATGGTTGATTTCTTTCAAATATTAAAACGATAACTGGATTTGGAAAAAAAACCTAGGTATTGCCAAAAAGAAAAAAAACAACAACTAGGTTCTCTTTGGTTGTTTCACAAAAGAAAAAGAAGAAAAGAAAAAAAGAATAATAATTTATTTCGTGTCAAGACATAGTTTCCTATTTTTCTAATATTTCCTTTTCTTTCAACTTTTCTGTACATTTGTTTCTAGTTCCTTTTCTGTACTTTTTATAATAAGGGGGGGGAGGGGGACTACGTTTGTTATGTGGTGGGGGAAAATTGTTGAATATGGATTACTTAACGCGTTGTTGACAATCAATATCATTTCAAAAATATGTAAAAAAAAATTTAGGTTTTCCTTACTGGTTATTTACAGTCATCCTTGAAAATTATCAATTTAAGGAGAGAAAAATAAAGATGCCTCAGGCGAAGTAAAATAATTTAAAATTTTAAAAATCCAGAAAATTTAAAAAAAATATATTTTTACTATTACTAGTAAATAATTTACGTTTGCAAAGTTTTAAAAATAAATATAAAAACCTTGCAAATGGATTTCTTATCAATATTATTTGATAGAAACGTTTCTTTAATATAGTTTCTATTGGTGGTTTATTGTATGTATCCAATACACACAGGGTATTTGAGAACAATAAATTGTATTCTTGTCACCGGTTTTTACCAGGCTTTACGATTTTTACTTTCTCTCTTCTATAGTTATGATAAATTGATCCTGAGTCTAATATATTATTCTTAATATACTGCTACACACTTACTAGAGGGGATTCTTTAGGTTTAAATCATTTGGAAATAATTTTTTAATTTTTAGATTTTTTAAAAACATATTTTTAAAAGTAACTCTTAGCACTTGCCACAAATTTTAATTTTCTAATTCCTATATCTTTGCAATCATGTTAATGAGACCTGTGATATTTTATAAAATGATTTCTGATAGATCAATAAGTGAAATATGAAAAGTTTACATCATTAGGTTGCAAACTTTTAAAGCCCTATTCTGATCCTTTTAAACATCTTTTAACTGTTTAAATCCTTTAAACCTTTTCTATCTATCGCCTATCTTATTTTAACCTATTCAAACTTATCCTAACCAATTTAAACCCATCCTAACCTATCGGAACATTTTCAATCCTATTTAAACCTAACCGAACCTATTCAAACCTGTCCTAACCTATTCAAACCTGTCCTAACCTATTTTAACCCATTCTAACCTATTTTTACCTATTCTAACCTATTCAAACCTATCTCTACCTATTTAAACCCACTTAAACCTACCCTAACCTATTTTAACCTCTGCTAATATATGAATATATAAATCTTAAAATCAAGATGTGTAATATATAATAACTCTGAACTGTCATATATGTGAAGAATATGTCCGCTAGTTTTACTCAGTATTTTAATTAACTTTGACTCTCCAATTATTGTCAACATTGATTTAAAATACAATATTTAGCGCTGAATCAACTATCATTATAAAACTGTACTGATTATGCACGAATATTATAGATTCACGAAAACTTTAAAAACCCCGCCCAATTTTCTTAAACCAAAAATAAACAAAAAAAGGGGGAAATTATCAAATCTTTTTTTTGAAAAGAATATATTACAAAAATATTGAAAGGAATTGAGTCTTTGGAACAAAATCAAATATTTAGCGGAGAAATACTCAGTTTTAATCCACCTGTCATCAAGTTTACACGTGACTCTTATACAATCCTTTTGGGACACCAGTTTAAGGTGTACTTAGAGAAGTAAAAACCCCCCTGGTGTAAAGGGTATATGGAGTTAGTATGAAGAAATGCTGGCTGAATTAGAACACACCAGTTCAAATCTATTTTTATCCATGGCTAAGGTAAAACTATAGATTTGAACGCTGAAATCGATGAAATCATGAAAATTTAATAATAGAAAAAAATATTTAGTCCAAGGGCTTGCTGGAAACAGTTGATAGTTGGTTTAACATTCCTATGGTTACGTCATAAATAGATAAATTAAAATTGACATCTATGACAGAAGTAGATTTAGATTGTAAGCATTCAGATAGAAAAAATAGATAAATAGATAGATAAAAAGTATGGAGAGATTAATTAAAAAGAGATCTTTACAAATTTTGTTCAAATGATAAAAACTTGTAAACCTGGTAAATAAAAAGTCGTCCAGTAGGAATTGACTTGAAAATTGGAAATTATTAGGTAGTATAATTTCTTCGGTTGAAGTTGGGATTTTAATTTTTCGTGAACACTCCCTTTAAGCTGTTAGCATTTAGTAAAGAAGAAATAATCGAATAGGAATTATAAAGAAACTGAGTTCATGCCATCAAACTCTGATGGCGTAGACCTTTGCTTTTCAAACAATGAATTTTGTTAGATCGTAAAGTCAAGGTTTGAAATCTTAAAAGTTTCCACGTTAAGGTTGCAAATATATAGGGATTAAAAACTTTAAGTTTGATTATAAGAATTCAGTTCCTTTATTAGGTTATATTTAGCACGTTAATACTAAATTGTATGAAAAGCGAGTACAACAATATGATATGAAGGTTTGAACAGGTCCCATCAAATAGATAATTTAGATAATTTAGACACATTTTGTTTAGTTTACGTTTAATTTAGCAAATATTTAATTTTTAGATATTTAAATAGGCTTAATAATTCTTTTGATCATTTATATTATGCGATTTTAAAAATCAATCAGTACATAAATCTTATTTTGATTGTTTTAAAAATTATCTTTGCAATTTGATGGTGTAAATCTTGTATATCTTAAACTTTGACAATGTCATTTAGAAAATTCTTAGTATGAAATATCAAAAGGTCTACAAAAATAGGTTTCAAAGATATTAGGATTAGAACATGTGAGTTCAATGCGATTTTCATGTTTTTTTTTGCATTTTTGTTATGCTTAACGTTTGTTATAGAAATCTGTACGTAAATAGATGAATTAATTTACGCTATATTCTGATATTCTGATATTCTGATATTCTGATAACAAATTTTTTTTTACAAACTTAATTTAAACATTTTAATTTTAAAATCGGTTTAATTTAAAACTTTCAAACTTGTTTTGATGAATTAGGATAAAGGAGAAATCAAGGGGGCGAGTAGAATTTGGGAATATAGAAAGAACGATATTGAAGAGAAAAAAATATAATTAACTGTTGTTAATTTGTATTAAAAATAAGAAATTTCGCAAAAAGATTAATAAAAAGGATTTTCTTTTCTTATTATAAAAGTTTGATGAACATTGTCACTGCATATCTCATCATTTATTCATTTTTTCTGTCATGAATCTGTAGAATCTACTAAATCTACTGAATTAACAAGATCTACTAAGTCAATGAAATCTACTAAATCTACTGATTATAGTAAATCAACTAAAACAACTGAACGTTCTGTATTTAATAATTCCACGAAAACAAAATAAAAACTTTTTTTTGTTAACTAAAGGAATTGAGTTTTTGCCCTAAACAGAAATGTTCTAATCCCTAAACCTTTACAACCTGATTATGTAAACCTTTGAAATGTTAATCTTACATTACTTAGTCTACCAGAATTTATAATTTGAAATATCAAAGGTCTACGAAATCATGTTGTAAAGATATTTAGGTTAGAAAATCATAGCTTGTGGCAAAAAAAATCATTTCCTTTGATGATAGTTAGATTTTTTGTTTACATGTCATTTTATTTCTGTTTATTTACATGTCATTTTATTTCTGTTTATTTATATGTCATTTTATTTCTGTTTTTTTACATGTAATTTTATTACTGTTTATTTACATGTCATTTTATTTGTGTTTATTTACATTTCATTTTATTTCTGTTAATTTACATGTCATTTTATATCTGTTTATTTACATGTCATTTTATTTCTGTTTATTTACATGTCATTTTATTTCTGTTTATTTACATGTCATTTTATTTCTGTTTATTTCTGCTCCTATTTCAATATTTCATTTGAACAATCCTACAACTCNACGAATATTATAGATTCACGAAAACTTTAAAAACCCCGCCCAATTTTCTTAAACCAAAAATAAACAAAAAAAGGGGGAAATTATCAAATCTTTTTTTTGAAAAGAATATATTACAAAAATATTGAAAGGAATTGAGTCTTTGGAACAAAATCAAATATTTAAACCTCAATATCTTTAGCACTCGATGTTGTTAACCTTTGAAATTTCAAACTCAGATTATTTGATCTAACTGAATTCATAGTTTGAAATATCTAAGGTCTTCAACATTTGGTTCCAGTGATATAGTGATTAGAAAATCAGAGTTTGTGGCAAAGACTCAATTCCTTTATCGGTTACAAAATGTTTTAAATTTTTTAATCTTAATCATTTTGAGAAGAATAAATTATTGTCAATTATTTTTCTCAGCTATTTTAAGATTTAACCCCACATTTTTTCGCGGTAAAAAGTAAGCATAACCTATCCAGTGTACAGTGTGGCATGGGCCATGGTTGGATAATGCGCGGGAAATTGCCGCCGTAAACACAGACTGGCGGTACCTGCCGCCAATTCTCAGTACTGGCTGCTCGAAGCTGCTTTTTATCAGTTAAGGGTGCAACTAGAATTTGTTTGTTAAGATTTCAAGAATTGGGGCGGGTTAACCCAAGCACTCGAATATGAATATTAGGCAGAAAAAATTAAACAAGAAAATTTGTTTCATTGAATTGAATAGTTTTGGTCAGTATATAATTAATAATCAATAATTAAATACACGATTAATTGCTTAATTATTTAATTCAACTCTTTGCAAACAATTCCAAAGAAATTTGATAACAAATAACTGTTGTATCCTGCCCCCTCCTTCCGACGTCCTGCCCCCCCCCCCTTCTGTTCTGTACAATAATAGGTTTGCAGTGTAAATGATTAAATAATCAATACGTTTCCAAACTAATCATAATCATTGAACCAACAGAAAACTAGTTTATTTCATTCAGTATTTATTTATTTGCATCATGAAATAGCTTGGAATATATAATATAAATAAAAATAATAGCTAGTAGTTCTGTAATAGCTCTTAAAATACTAGAGATATAAATGATAGAATAGAAAAATTCAATAGCTAAAAAATATTAGGTTCGAAATAGCGTGGAAAACATGTTAGAAAGGATAGATAGGAAAGATAGGATAGACAGGATAGATAGGATAGATAGGATAGATAGGATATATAGGGTAGATAGGATAGATAGGATAGACAGGATAGATAGGATAGATAGGATAGATAGGATAGATAGGATAGATAGGATAGATCGGATAGATAGGATAGATAGGATAGATAGGTGTAAACCTGTGATATTTTAAACTTAAAACTATTTGATCTGGCAAAAGTCTAGGACGTACATCAGGTCGCAAAAATATTAAGATTAAAAGATTAGAATTTGTAATCAGTTTCTTGGTATACCTATTTAAGATGTATGAATAAGATCTGCAGGATAGCTGGGTAAGCTATATTAAACCTGTAATGCCAGACCTATAAATTATTTTTGCAACTTCTGCTCATTTGATTTATGAATTGCAACATTTTCCATTTTTTAAGCACAACAGACAGCACAGATTTGGCTATTTTAATAACAGTTTAATAATTATAACTTTGTAGAATTGAATCTAATAAAAATTACACAGATTCCCTATGTGGCAGACGCTAAATTTAATTGCGTATTTTCCTTCCCAGCAATTTACCACATAATCTTTATTTTGTTGTCGTAAGGTAAACAAGAGATAATCATACTGCACCAAATGAATGGTTCGGCAGTATTGTGAGCCTTTTATTAAATATTGAAATATTGTCATTAAAAGTTGAAATATTATAGATTAATTTGTAGGTACGCCGGATCCTTTACTTCTACCCTCTAATAAACAATCTGACCACAGTAGGTTGTAATTCAGAGCCCTCCCCCACCATTCCCACCCCCTTCCGTCGATCACATCATTTTGAATGTCGGTATCCCTTCTCTGACTAACCTTGGGATGTTAAATTAGTGTTTTCGCAGGTCTCTTCGTTCTCCGGCCTGTAATTAACAATTATCAAGGTTCGGTACAACACTAAATATACACACCAACAACTTCTCTAAATCAACAGGAATAATTAGAGCAAAAATAAGGGGTGGCAACACCCCCCCCCCTCTCTTGCAATTTGTGATGGGTATTGGGAATTTATGAACTGAAAAAAGGACAACCACCCACTGGGTTTGTGTGCAGCAAAGGTTCAATACTGGGATTCATTTCCAATTATTTTCAGATATTTTAAACAGGACTTACAGGGGGGGAATAGGATAAGTGCTCTTGATTTACGATAAAATAAAAGAACATTATAGTAATTCTAGGGATCGGTTACTACTGTCTTACAGGAGTTTTTTCCTAAACAGGAACCCAAATTATTGTGGCATTTTTAAAGTTTCACCCTGCACCAGTTTGCAGCTGGATTTTTCATGGTTGTCTTAATAACAGAGAAAAACCAAACACCCCAATTCAATGGAAAACGTGTAGTTTTCTTCAGTTTAAAATACCGCTCCTGCACTTTTAATTACCAGTGTAAGTTTTTGTTTTACAGCAAAATTTTATAACTGAAAAAAGATTTTAAAATTTTTAGATTTAGGAATTTTTTAAAAGAAATTGGGTTGCTAAAATATATGGATTAGAAATCATGCTTTGTGGTAGAAACATAAACATAGAAGGATTACATTCAAAACTTTGTACAATTATTTCTGCAGTCAATAAATCCCACTCTGTCCTCCCCTGTCCCCCCCCCCCTCCGACATCCTCCCCCTACCATTCCCTGCCAACATCCCCCCTCCCTTCATTTCCATAATGTTAATTATGTCGAATAATATAATGGTATGATGAATATGATGAATATGATAAATATGATAATAATATATCGTATATCAGCATATTAGAGTATATTTATCCATATATCCTTTCCCTTATGCGTAAACATATATTCTTGACCATGAATATATCGGAATATATTATCTTCAGTGCATTAGATGCTAATATAGTTGGGACATGCATATTTTTAAAATATTTTTCCATTTTGTAACAGAATTTTGAAACAGAAATAAAAATAGCTTTATCATATTTTTATCAACTACGACTGAAATGAAAATTATATAAATCTTTTCTTTATCTGAAAATATTCTTGTTCTCCAAACTTGAAAATAAATGAGTCAATCATTTTTTACTCAATCTAGAATTTGAATTGTGTCAACAGTTTTTTAGATATAATAACGTTTTTTTCTTTTCCTTTAAAATCTTATCGAATTTGTATAAAAATCTAATAAAATTCATGAAAACAAATGTTGAATATAACATGACAATGGCAAGCTACGGTTTGCTAAATATAAATAAAAATACATGAATAATATGTAATATTAAACAAATGATTAAAAATCAATAATATTCCTAAACTTTACACCTCCAGTCAACCATCACGTTTCATTACAGAGTGGTTCAGAATGAAAAATAGCTTTAATAAAAACAACAAAAACATAGCTAAATTTATTCAACAATTTTTGATATTAAGAAACGTGCAGTTTTAAAATTCGAAGGGTAGTCTTTTATTTTGAGAATATGTTCTCCCTGAGGTTGTTAGTACTGAGAATGTATGATTGTAGGTTACAAATAAATCATTTCTCCGGTATAGGCGTAGAGCAGGGAAATTACGGGAACACTTTTATACCAGGCATTTATAGAAACATTGCTATAAATAAGTCAGAAATAATATAGAGTGGAGGGTAGAGGGGGGGATGGTAAAGGGGAATAGGGGAAGCATATTTCAAGAATAGCAGATGGGGGGGGAGGGGGGGGGGAGAAATATGTGGGCTCACGAAATCATGAGATAGAGAGAAAAGTAGATGCTGGGGGGCACAGGATAATAGTCAAACATACCAGAGAAAGACCTTGCTGAAAACCCCCAAACCGTTTTATCTATCCTAGCTTTATCTCCCCCCCCCCCCCCTCTTAAATTTAATATACAGAACAAGAAGTTGTTACATGGGAGGAATGTGTCAACTTTGTGACATCTTTTTTCATGTTTATGCTAATTTGGGTTTGATTTGTTTAAAATAAGGTTCGGTTAATATCAGGGTTCTGATTATTTTCGACATCGGTATTTTCTGTCATGTTTATCAACCCCGGCTCTTTATCGAATAAAATTACTGTTCTATATCTAAGGAACCATAATCATGTTGATTTTACTCAAGCATAAAATATAATTTTACGTTGAACGTTGGTTTGGGACAGGTTGGGGCGGGTTGGGGCGGGCTCCGGGCCGCCCATAATCCTGGTCCCGGTAATAGTACTGACCCACCCACCTACACACCCAATGAGCGTTGAAACCTGCCAATTGCTCCGATATTCAACTAATCACAGGTTTTTCAGGATCATCCCGGTCTGCGTGGTACACCTCTAGCTATGCTGGCCGCACAGTGTAACAAGCTGAGCAGCATGTCTCCGCCCCCTCTGGCTGACGCAGCAGTGGGGAAGGGGTTTCATCCTTGGAAAAAAGGAGGATCAGACAGTCCTGATACATCCGGAGGGTCAAGAGGTCATCAATCTTCAGCTGGATCAGGAGGTACAACAGCATCATTCTCTACATCTCCACATCAAGCTACTTCTCCCAGTCCTAGCTACAGTAAGTTTTATTTTTTCATTTCTAGTTTTCCATTCTGACTTGTTCGTTGATTATTAAACATGTTGGACAGGCGGGGCATTATAAATTCACTTTTCATCATTTGAATTTGATGAACAGTCATGCTTATTACACAGCAAACCCCCTCTCGTTCTTTGTTCAATGACCTCCCCCCCCCCCGTCTCACTTCCAAGTTATGTTGCCTGGAGAATCCCTAAGTTTCCGTTCCTTTCAATAATTAATGATATTTATGAATAAATGGTTCTGAAACATTGACGCGGCAATCCAATATTAGCCAAACCAAATATGGCAGCCATTTCAAGAAGGAAAATTCAAAATCCGGTTTTAATTAACGTCTGGACTTATCGGATTCGTTAAAACCAAACTTAAAATAAATTTTTAGTGTCTAAGCATACTGCCTTAAAGCCTATCTATCTATCTATCTATCTATCTAACAAACTAACTATCCCAATATTTGTTTGGGAAACTGTTGGTTTGCCAGAAACCTCATTTGGAGTCGAAATAAAGGAAATAACTCTCAATTAATGGATTTCGACGGTAATTGTCTAATATTTCCCAAGGTTCTAGTCATAAATGGTTTGGTTGGTTGGGTGGTATCCAGATATATTATAGTTGGCGCTCCGCCAACCCATCCCGGGGTAAGAACCCTGTCTTCTCCGATCCATCAAGTTTCAATCTTAAACTCCAGGAAACAGTTGTAACACTAAAACTTTCAGGTTTCACACAATCACTTACATGAGTTTCCAGCAGTTCTCTTATCACGCTGTTTTATACAAGCTCGGAGTAAATACTTGCTCTAACATGCAATCCATGGTTCCGCCCTCATCCAACCCTTTCAATAATATAATCTTCAAATCATTCGTCCGGGAGATAACATCATTCGTCTCTTATCTTTTAGTTTTAAACCTAATTATTTATCTGTTTCAGGTACAGGGATTTATCCTTTTTCTACCTCCACCTCTTCATCCTCTCAGAGTGAAACCAACTCCTCCCAAGCCTCCATCATAGGCAAGGTGGACCCTAGCGTGGCAACGAGTGCTGCGCATATCCAGAACATGCAGACCATGTACTCCAGGGTGGCGGGGGTTAACCCCTACGAATCCTGGCCTTTTAACGTAGCCGGAGCATCTCATATCAAATCTGAAGTAAACAGTTTTCAAACCCCTGGCTCCTGGTGGGATATGCATACACAAGCTGGTAGCTGGTTAGATGCTGCTAGTGGGTTAGGAACAGCTGCTACAATGCATGCTGCTCAGATGGCAAACTATACAGATTACAGTGCTGCTTCTGCTCTAGGATTAGCAAGTAATGGTTTGCTGGGAACCCAGGCGTCCTTGTTTGGACAAACAGCTTCACAGTTTGGTTTAGCAGCACAAACCTCTTCTCCTCTTTCCCCTAGATCTCAGAGAAGATATACAGGACGAGCAGTGTGTGATTGTCCAAACTGTCAGGAAGCTGAAAGATTGGGACCTGCCGGGGCTCATATACGGAAGAAAAACCTTCATAATTGCCACATCCCGGGCTGCGGCAAAGTTTATGGTAAAACCTCTCACTTGAAAGCTCACCTTAGATGGCATACCGGAGAACGACCTTTTGTTTGTAACTGGTTGTTCTGCGGGAAGAGGTTTACTAGGTCTGACGAGCTCCAGAGACACTTGAGAACACATACAGGAGAGAAGAGGTTTGCTTGTCCTACTTGTAACAAGAGGTTCATGAGATCAGATCATCTCGCCAAACACGCGAAAACTCATACAGAAGGAGGGAAGAGTGACTCTGACTCCGAGAACAGTCGGAGCCACGGCAGTCCAGGTTCCATGATTAACCCACAAAGTCCACATATGTCTTCACCAGGACCTATGTAATTGGACTAGTACATTCATACTTGACGGAGTAGTCCATACTTCTTCCTGGACCAGGAACAGGTCCAAGATGAACCATATCAACCTGAATCTAGGATAGAGGAATCTAACCCTCTGATCCGGGTCCAAGCATGACCAGTGAACATTAATAGAACGGTCGTGCTCCAGGTTTATCCAAGGTTTGCTCCCGCTCAACCCCTGAGCTGGGTACTGGCGACCCATCGTGCCTTTTGTGAGAATAGAATTTTTTGAAAATATAAAAATATCAGTGCCTAGGCTGTGATCTGAGATTAAGGGTGAGTAGAGGTTAAACTCACTACTCTACTCCAGGTTCGGAGTTGGCAGGTTCCGGAGCTAAAGTTCTCCGGTTACTCCGCTGACCAGGAGACGAACTTCAAGGTACCAGATGAACGGACAAATTAAATTATGAGTGTGGGTGCTACACAACAGTTTGATAGAAAATTTGACGAATTTTGGAATATAATCATTTTGTTATAATAATATATTAATAAATTGTGATCAAAAACTTTATTTCCGGATGCAAACATCCTTAGGGAAGCTGAGAAAGGATTTGATAGTAATAAGTTAGTTTTGTCTGAAACCCTTGCTTTTTACTATAATGAACAGATGAATAAAATAACGGCTTGATGGAAATAAGAGGCGAATAGATAAATGGTTAGATAGATAGGATAAATGTATTGATGATATATAGAAAGGATAGATGGAATGTTAGAAAGGACAGATGAATATATAGATGGTTGGACGGAATGGTTAGATGGTTAGATATAAAGGAGAGATAAAAGATATATGGTTAGATAAGAAAGAATAGATAGATGGTTAAATAGATAGTTAGATAGATTGTTAGATAGATAATTAGATAAAGGGTTAGATGGATAGTTAAATATATATTTAGCTAAATAGTAAGATAGATGGTTAGATAGGAAGCTAGAACTCCTTGATTTGGTTAAATGGTTCGAAAGCTGGTTAATGATAGGAGCTGTGAGTTCACAACCCAAATCTTTCCCAGAGGGGGAATAGAGGGGGGAGGGGAATATAGCGGAGAGCTGGTGGTTGAATGGGGGAATTTATCTGGTAAATATTATCCACACTCTCAGTAGATACTTGAACCCAGGGTAATCTTTCATCTCAGATAAATAGATATATTCGCTTCAGATATGGAGATAGAGATAGAGATAGGGAGAGAAAATATGTGTATAATGTCTAGAATAATAGAACACGAAAATAGACTAAAAAGAAAAGGTGGGAATGGGCTAGGATATGAGAAGAAAGAGGGGAATGAGCTAAGATGAGAGAAGAAAGAATAAGCTTGGATAAGAGAAGGTGGGAATGAACTAGAATGAGAGAAGGTAGGAGTGAGCTAGGAGGAGAGAATGTGGGAATGAACTAGAATGAGAAAAGGTAGGATGTACAAGAATGAGAGCAGGTGGAAATGAACTAGAAAGAGGGAAGGTGGGAATGAGTTCGGATAAGAGAAGCTGGGAATAAGCTGGGATGAGAGAAGGGGGTAATGAACTAGAATGAGAGAAAGTAGGAGTGAGCTAAGATGAGAGAATGTGGGGATGAAGTAGAATGAGAGAAGGAAGGGATGAACTAGGATAAAAGAAGGTCAGAATGAACTTTGATAAGAGAAGGTGGTAATTGATTATGAAGAGAGAAGGTGTGAATAAGCTAGAATGAGAGAAGGTGGGAATGAGCTTAGATGAGAGATGGTGGTAATAAACTAAAATGAGAGAAGGCGAGAATGAGCAAAACTAGAGAAAATGGGAACGAACTACGATGGGAGAAGGTGGGAATGAGCTAGAATTAGAGAAGGTAGGATTAAGTTAGAATGTTAGAAGGTGGAAATGATCTAGGATGAGAGAAGGTGGGAATGAACTAGGATGAGGGAAGATGGGAATGAGCTAAAATGACAGAAGGTGGGGATGAGCTAGAATGAGAGAAGGTGGGAATGAACTATAATGAGAGAAAGTGGGAATAAGCTAGAATGAGAGAAGGTGGGTATGAGCTAGAACGAGACAAGGTGGGAATGAACTAGAACCAGAGAGGTGGGAATGAGATAAGATGGGAGATGGTGGGAATAAACTATAATGAAAGAAGGTGTGAATGAACTACGATGAGAAAAGGTGTGAATAAGCGGGAATTAGATAAGGTAGAATTATGTTAGAATGAGAGAAGGTGGGAATGAACTAGAATAAGAGAAGGTGGGAATGAGCTGGAATGATAGAAGGTGGGAATGAACTAGAATGATAAAAGGTGGGAATGAGCTAGAATGACCATATATATAAGGAACGAGGGTAAGGGTTTGGCACCAGGAATGATTTAGTTTGCCAACTGCAGTTCTCTAACCAGCAATATTATTATACAGGGAAGAGAATTATGAATATTATTATTCACATTATTATTATTTACATTATTATTTACATTATTATTTTCAATGTTATTTACATTATTATTTACGTTATTATTTTCATTTTTATTTACATTATTATTTACATTATTATTTACATTATTATTTTCAATATTATTTATATTATTATTTACAGTATTATTTACATTATTATTTACATTATTATTTTCATCATTATTTCTATTATTATTTCCATTATTGTTTTAATTATCATTTACATTATTATTTTCGTTATTATTTTCAATTTTATTTACATTATTGTTTACCTTATTATTTTCATTATTATTTTCATTGTTATTTATATTATTATTTTCAGTATTATTTTCAATATTATTTACATTATTATTTTCAATATTAATTACATTACTGGTTACATTATTATTTACATTATTATTTACATTATTATTTTCATTATTATTTACATTATTATTTTCATTATCATTTACATTATTGTTTTCATTATTATTTTCAATGTTATTTACATTATTGTTTACATTATTATTTTCATTATTTTTTCATTATTATTTAGATTATTATTTTCAATATTATTTACATTATTATTTACATTATTATAATATTTTCATTATTATTTACATTATTATTTACATTATTATTTTTATTATTATATACATTATTATTTTCATTATTATTTTTATTTTCAATACTATTTTTGATTAAATTTAGTAATTTTTACCAACGTATTGGGTATTGGTTTTCCGAATAAAAAAGGGTTGAAAGGAAGTTTTTCATGAATATTGTGTTATTGAAATTATTACATTAAAAAACAAAAACATTCTCATTTAAAGTTTACGGTGATAATTGAAAATGAAGTGTTTAAAATGAAATGAATGGATTATTGAGTTTATCTTATAATCATAATTATAAGTTTAAATATATGTATATATATGATTTAACTTTTTAAAATTTTGAATAGATTATAAACTTTATAATTTGTTTTTGTTTTATATTTTCATGATATCAGTATAGCTGCCATCTGCAGTTTAACCCTACAGATGCAAAAAAACTCATTTCGTTTTTAGATTATTTAAAAATAATTTCAGCAATCATGAAATTTGTATTCTGCAATTCTGGAATTTTTCTTTTATTTATACATTTCTTATTTAAGGATAAGGGTTCTATATATATTTTTATACTTTGATACGAGTCAACGATACAAAGATATTGAAAAAAATAATATGTTATTTGTCACAAGCTCTTCTTCTATATAATAAAGCTCTTCGCTCATATATATATATATATATTGTTATGCATATACAGGGGTAGGCGATTTTATCAATACAACGAAGACGAATGAAGACGACTTTCGATTTATATCAAGCTGGTAAACAGCATGGATACAGATAAACATAAAAGGAGAGTAAAGCTGTCTATTAAAAAAAGCTTCTCTTTGATTAATTGTAAACGTGTAATAAAAAAAAACTTGTTTATAATCAAAACTTTGTTTAAAAGTCGTTTTCATTGTATTATTATAGACGCCTACCATTTCTTGAGGAAACCTGCGGGTAAATTAGGTTGAAAAAAATTTAAAAAATGATCTCCAAAATTTAAATTTTTTTATTTTGATAAATCAATTTTTTTCTTCAAAATTCCACGGCCAACGCCGGGCACTTCTGCTAGTATTTTATAATCCCTATATCTTTGCAACATGATGATATACTTTTGAATAAACTTTGATATTTAAAACATTAACTATTTGATTTGATATGATTCCCAGATTTAAAGAGCAAAGGTTTACGACATGAGTGTGCACGGATACAAAGTTTTGTCAATTCCTTATTTCATAAACATACACAAGTAACAACTTAAGATCAATTTTTCTCACAGAAAATAATTTTACTGCTAAAATTTGCCAACACATTTTTAGCCGGGTTACATACAACTAACAAGTTTAGAGTTAGGATCGTTGTTATCCTTTTTTTTTAGAAATTTTAGGATATTTGTATTTTTGGAGGATTTACGAAAGTCTACGTAATTCAAAATTGTATTTTCCATCAGTTTTCTTTCATAAAATTATACAAAATATCGACTCTTACAGAAGATATAAGCCTGAACGAAGCAAAAATTAAGATTTTGTTTTCGAAGGTATATTCAAATTACTCGACTTATATCTTCTAATACATTGCAAAGATGATTTTGCTGAGTGTAATATTAGAAAACTTTTAAGAGAATACATTTTTGAAAAATGTCAAATTTATCAGAGTTTTATGGAATCTTTTGAAAACCCGACAATCCTCAGTGTTTAAGAAACAGATAATAACGTTGCCCGACTGTACGCTGACTCCGACTGTACGCTGACTTCGACTGTACGCTGACTCCGACTGTACGCTGACTCCGACTGTACGCTAACTACGACTGTACGCTGACTCCGACTGTGCGCTGACTACGACTGTACGCTGACTCCGACTGTACGCTGACTCCAACTGTACGCTGACTACGACTGTACGCTGACTCCGACTGTGCGCTGACTACGACTGTACGTTGACTCCGACTGTACGCTTACTCCGACTGTACCCTGATTCCGACTGTAGGCTGACTCCGACTTCAATAAACAGCTTTTTAAAGGAATTAGGTACGCAGTCATAATTAAGTGACCAGCATTCAGCCTCTTAATATTACAAAGTGGCATTACCTGAAAAAGTTGCATTTGCAGTTTTTGTATATTACTTATATTTTGATATTATTAAAATATATTTTTCTCTCTTTTATAAATGTATGCTCGTCAATGTACGAATTCCTTAATCTAATTTAATAATAGTGATCATAATCACATTATTAAGAAAAACTGACTTTTTCATTAAATATAAAAACCTGATAAATTAGTGAAGATGTATGATGATATCATAGATTAATGAGATACTAATAAAATAAGGGGTTGGTTGACAATTGACAATTATTTATAAAATCATATTCATATTGTTCCGGTTCCACCTTGTTAACAAGGGATGTCCAAAAATAGTGCAGGTAAATCAGTTAAAATGTGTTTACTTTTATTGACTAAGAATTGAAATAAATGAAATCTCTATGGGAAGACTGAAAATTACTAATTAAAGTAAAACAAACATAAATGTTTGTGGAAAATTCT